AAAAAAAAAAAAAGAAAAAAGAAAAAAAGAAAGCCTTGCCTAGAAGTCTATGTGTAGGGGGTAAGTAAGGGGGGTAAGAAGACAGAAGAGGCGTGGAAACAGAAGAATGACAAGGAAGGGCAAAAGGTACAGGCCAAGTGCTAGAGCCAAGCCAGTTTCTTGCAGATATAGTGGTGTGTGTGTGCAAGTGTTACAAGTGGAGAATGAAGGTAAAGTATCCTAGGATAAGGTCTTCTAGCAGACTCCTATTTTTTGGCTCATCGTATTAGACTCTATTGGTGGTGGGAAAGTAGAAGAAAGAACTCAGTATAGCTTCTGGCAGCTGCTTAATTAAGACAAGGTGAAATGGGCCAAAGACAGGCTGGCTTGCTCTGACACATTTAGATCGTATTCCAAGTGTTCATCACAGTAGCCTAGACTTGCATGTTGACACACAGAGCTCTTCAAATATCTGTAGAGAGCAGGGTTAGGAAATTCCTGTGCCAGGTTTTGGTTTCTGCCATTTTTCAAAGTACACAGGATGCAGAGCATGGATAGTGATAGAATACTGATTGGTGACAAGCTCACTGGCTCCTTACTCAATTTGAAAGTTTAAGAACTGGAGTAATTGTGTGCATAGAAGAGCTTATACCAAGAGGCCCATTTTATCACATGGAAAATCACAAGGTTCTGTTTCAAACGTCTAATCCAAATCTTAAAAACATGTTTTATTTCTACTGTAGTCTAGATACAAGAGAGTTCATGATGCTGTGGGTTAAGTTTCTTAGGTTAAGAGGTTGCTCGAGAAAAAATGATGTTTGAAAATGTTTTGACTGGGCACGGTGGCTATGCCTGTCATCACAGCACTTTGGGAGGCTGAGGAGGGCGGATCGCCTGAGCTCAAGAGTTAAAAACCAGCCTGAGCAACACAGTCAAACCCCAACTTTACTAAAAATACAAAAAAAATCATCCAGGTGCGGCAGCATGTGCCTGCAGTCCCAGCTACTCAGGAAGCTGAGGCAGGAGAATTGCCTGAACCTCGGAGGCAGTGGTTGCAGTGAGCCGAGATGGTACTACCGCACTCCAGCCTGGGTGACACAGCAAGATTCCATCTCAAAAAAAAAAAAAAAAAAAAGAAAATGAAAAGAAAATCTTTCTTAGGACAAATTTTAGAAAAGAGATAGTTTAGAGAGTATAGTTTTAGAAATGGCCTGTTACTTTGGTAGTCATTTAATACTAGAAAATAACAAAATCATAGGACAATAAATACAATTAATATGAAGTGTTCCATATTAAAATCTATAGAATTTCTGAAACTTTATTATGTCAAATTTAATTTTCAGGCATAAGTATGAATTTCTACACAATGGAACAACTCCAGATATAAGAATAACAGTTCCTCCAAAGAAGATTGGCATTCTATTAGACTATGAAAATTCAAAGTTGTCATTTTTCAACGTGGACCTTTCTCAGCATCTATACACATTTAGTTGTCAGCTTCACAAATTTGTGCATCCCTGTTTTTCTTTGGAAAAGCCTGGGTGTCTAAAGATACATAATGGCATTTCAATGCCAAAACATGTCACTTTCTATTAGAACATTTTGATGTCCAGTTTCCTATCTTCCAAGCCCACCCCTCTCACAGCCACTCATGCCTTAGCTGGCTGAACTTGGCATTCAAGCACCATGTGCCCAGCATATTTTATGGCTGATGTTATTATCTGACAGAAGGCATGCTGCTGCTCATTTCACCCAACCTAGATTCTAGTCCTGTGTGCTGCTACCCGAGTGATGCTCAGATGGTTGTTACCAGGCCCAGCTGTAAAATAAAGGCTCAAACTAACGAACTCAAAAGTCTTTCCAGTTGTCAATCTGTATTTGTATATATGCAAAATATCTTCAGTTTCTGAGACCTAGAGAGCTTGGGAGAGGAGGGGGGAAGTCTCAATGGCTCTAGCAGCCCCAGTACACTCATGCATTTCATTAGTCAGCCAAGTATATACTTTAGAAGGTGAGAGGCTGTCTGCTGAGAACCAGGGAAGCTGTGTGGCCTTCTCAACGTCTTCTACGCTCGTTTTCCCAACAGTGAGTAGCACTGTGGTGAGGTCCCCCTCACTGTGTACTCTTTATAACACCCTGTTCCACTCCTATACAGTATGCACCACTCTCTAATTTTGAAATTACCTCTATAATACCTAATTCCATGAAGGCAGGGACAGTGTCTGTTTTGTTCATCACTAGATCCCCAAGGGCTAACACAGAACAGCTGTCACCAAGTATTTGTTGAATAAATGAGTATCTTCTTTAGCCACTGCTCTTTGGCTTCTCACTGCTGTCCATCTGAAGGATGGCAGGGCTCTTTCAAAACTACAGCAAAGGACCTATGGCCAACAAATGGGAAAAAACCTAGAATGGAGGCGGCGTGAAAGAACAGAAGGGCATCTGTGGCATATTAGCATGTGCACAGAAATTTTTTTAAAGAAATCAACAGCCCACCAAAGCGCAAAGCTGAGGATGGGAAGGAAGTGATCTCTAGGCAGCTTTCAGGCATCCTGTCTCACTGCCATGAGGCCATTCTGTGACCCTCAGTGGTCAACTTCATCAGCTCCATTTCTGGTTCTCCGGTTCAAGTTTCCAGTTGCAACTTAAGCTCTGCACACACAGCATTTTCAAAGCTTGTGAGTGAAACTGCAAAATCATTCCATTTGTGAAGAAATAACAATTCAGTATCTTGCCCCACAAATGCCTCTAAACCCAGATATGCCCTAATCTCATCATTTAAGGTTGTGTGTTTAAAAA